AGAGTGTTGTGGCAAAGTTTGCAACGATACTAAATTGCTCAAGAGAATTACATCCAAAGCAGACTAGATTTATAAAAGGATCTTACAAAACTGAATGCATAGACAACAAAATGGCAATGAAATTCAGTGTTGAAAAGTGGAAAGTAATATATATCGGAAAACATAATCCCAAGTATACATTCAAAATGATGGGGTCTAAATAAGCTGTTTCTACTCAAGAAAAAGATCTCTGAATTATTGTGGCTAGTTCCCTGCAAAACATCCACTCCAAGTGCAATGGCAGTCAAAGAAGCCAACAATGTTAGGAACCATTAGGAAATAGATAAAACAGAACACAGTGGCATAATATAAATCCACAGTACACCCATACCTTGAATACCACATGCAATTGTGGGTTGCCTCAACAAATATATAAGTAAAAGTGCAACCAATGTGGTTAAGGGCATTTCATATAAGGAGAGATTAAAAGATTGGGATGGTTGAGCTTGGCAAAGAGATAACTTCTTCACCTGTGGAACTTGTTACCAGGGGATGTCTGATAAAAAAAAAAAGAATTAGATACCGAGATAAAAAATTAGTTACCGAGATAAAAAAAGAATTAGATATATTTATGGCCATTAGCCAAGGTGGTCAGGGATGCAACCCCAATGCTCTGGGTGTGCCTAAACCTCCGACTGCTGGAACTAGATAACAGTAGGTGAAGCACTGAAAGTACCCGGTTCACACTGAAGTACGTGGCACCAGTCAGAACTGGAATCCCATCCCTTCCTGACAGAGTTACACTGGTAACATTTCTTAAGTGTAGACCAAGCTTGAGTTTACCTCATGGAGATGATTGGAATGGGTCACACCAGCCCAAGCTATTGTTCCAGGCTGATGACAGACTCACGTCTCCACCATTTACACTCATTTCACATTTTTGAGGTGGTGTTTGCACATGTAGCAACTAGAAGGTTTGCTGCTATTGTTTTAAATACAACTGAGAGACTGGAGCCCAAGATACACTTGGACCTCTTTAATCCAGGAAGCCTGTCATAGAATCACGGGCTTTAATGGGTAACTTCAGCAGGTGAGTTCTGTATATTTGTGTTAGTCTCTAAGGTGGCACAGGGCTATTGGTTTTTAGTTACAGACTAGCATGGCTACCCCTCTGAGACTTTTTAACTGGGAAACAGAGTTTGCTGGATTAAAGATTTTGCTGGGCCAGGAAAGGAGTCAGAGGGAAGTGGGGGAAGGGCACTCACCTGGGGCTTCGTGTCCCCCACCACTATGGGAGCAGTGGGAAAGAGCCTCCCGTAGAGCGTCACTGCGCTGCCATTCTCCCATCTGAGGGGCAGGGGGAGATGGGGGTGCTGCTGTGCACAGACCTGCTTCCACCTCTGCCTGCCAGGGGCCCTACCATGGTTGTTCCCAAAGTAGAGACACCCGGAGCATGGAGGATATAGTGTAGCAACTTCACAGAGGTGCTGGTTTGGCACATAGGCTCTTATCTTTCTCTGCCCTCAGGATGAAAAATTCACCCGCATTGGTTGTAGAGCGATCAGCCTAATGTTTTTTCCGGTTGCATGTTTTCAGCTGAAGCAGCGAGTGGAGTCACGCTGACTTCCGACTGATGTGGGGTTTTTGTGATGGGGAGAATCACAAATGAGTTGCAGTCAGATTAAAGTCATGGACAGTTATTTTAACATCTCAGGCTTTGTATTTAAAAAAATCCTTTTCAAATTTGGTTCTTTGATCGATGTGGTTTGCTACACCATTTTGTAAGTAACAGTGTTTCTCAGGCAGGGCTGGCGTTACAATACACTAGATTTACCTGACGTTGCTCGGGTCCTTAACTCCATTTTTATTTTTCTTCATTTAAATCTGGGATGGGGTTGAGGATGAGGGTTCAGTAGCAGGCTGCCCTGGGGAGAGAGGACAATTCCAGCCCCCTCTCTCCACAGCAGCTTACGGCCAGGTGAGAAGCACCTCTGCATGGCTGCTGCAGCTCCAGCAGGCCTATGAGTGCATGTCCCCTGGCTGGAGCAGGTCTGGGTTTGTCTGCCCCCCGTGCTCCCCAGCCACTATGAGTGCATGTCCCCTGGCTGGAGCAGGTCTGGGTTTGTCTGCCCCCCGTGCTCCCCAGCCACATGGAGGAATGGAGCAAACTGGGCATCTCTCCTCACTCCATGACAAAGGGGAATAACCAACGAGGTTCCCATACAAATCTGGGGGCTGCAGCCCCAACCCTCTCTAAAGGACAGCTGCATGGTGGGAGGCTTGGGAGTGTGGCATGCCACCAGCCAGCCCCTTTCATGTGCCTGGTGATTCTCTTCTGTATGTTTTTATGCACCCCTATATGCATGGGTGAAGGGGAGCTGTACTTGCCCCCCTTTCCTCTGCACAACCAAAGCCTGACTTTGCTTTAAGTTAGGATAAGAGGAAGCTGTATACCACATTTGGTGGTCCTAGCTCTTACCAGGTAGGAGGAGTTCTTGAACAGATGGACAGACAAACTCTCTCAACTGTATAATAGATCTAGTGTCACAAATTGTCAAACGCAGATCACTGAAGCACACCAAGACGTCAGGCAGGAGGCCATAAAATAGGCTAAAAATAGGAATATTACACCAGGCTGGCCTCTTCCCCCTAGCTCTGTACTAAAAGTAGAAGTCAAGCTGGCTGCCAGTGGCAAATTTTCTTATGGCCCTCAAAAGAGTGGCATCCAGGTGACCACTAGCTTTATTTGTGCTTAAAGCCAGTCTTGCATGCAGTTCTGTCAAAACATTCTCTTAATGCAATGCAGAGGATGCAGTTTAAACCCACCGAATCCAATATTCAGACTCCAAGATTAGCAGTGTACTCAGAAAACCCTATGTTGGCTTGTACTGCAGTACTGGGGCTGGGCAAGTTGGAAAGATGGGGTCAATGCTCTTTAGAACTCTCCCATCGCTATATAGGGGCTTTGCACAAGGTGAATTATCCATAAGCTACCCCGCCTTCCTCCCAACCATTACTGTCTACTCCATTAGCTAATGTTTAGGGACACTTTAATATGTAGAGCTTGGGTACAATAGGCCATAGAGTGTGTGACAATGCAGCTACTGTGTGTGCACCCAGTGGGCCTGTGGAAAATCCCTGGGAATTTTTTTTGGAATTACTGCACACCCACAACAGTTACTCATGCAAAACCAAACAGCTTGCGGTTGTTTTAAACATTTATTTTTCTGAAAAAAAGCCAAAGTCTGTAATCTACATTATGGATTGCAACATTTCGGTTCTTTTCTAAAATCTCTCTCTTTAAAGAAAAGCAGCCACACGTACAATATCACTAGTTATTCCTTTCCTGTTTGCCTTCTTGTAACTGAAAAATAGAATTGATTTTTCTCCCCATCCCATCATTTTGTAATAAATAAATAAATAAAGTATGCCCAAGCGGAGAACCCAGCACAAGTATGACTACTGAGTTAAAGTCCCTGAAAAGAGGGATTACGTTGGAAAGGTACATAGTCTATCAAGTTGCTAGAGGACATGAAATCTTTTCTTTTAAACAGCATATCCCAGTCATCCTCTGCTGTATCTGAGTCCATGTGTATTTGTCTAACTGGGACTCAAAAAGGCCAGTAAAGTCTGAATACAATTTTGTTACTTTACGTGCTATTCCTCATGCTTAAAATAAAAATGAGCATGTACAACAAGCCTAATAAATCCAAGAATGAAACATAATAGTAGCCTTTACATCCAGAGCTTTTATCTTCATTACTACTGATCACTGCAGGAGAGGAAAAGAAAGCTCACCAGACAGCTCATGTCTAATTAAAATAAAGGGGCATGCACCTTTTAATCCCTCTAAAGGGTATTTTTGCTGTTTAACATCAACAGTTCTACAGAAAAAAATTAACTCCTCTTTTCCCTGCCTGCTGATTTGATGCCATCCCATTGTTAGACCAGCCATTCAGAGATTCCCAGCCTTTTATTTGTTCCTTCTAATAAAATAAAATGTGTCCAGTTACCCACACGGTCATTGGTTTCATCTCCACAGCAAAAACAACACATTGTCACTATCCCAGTGCCAGCCCCCTCTCTGGTAGAGAGTCATACGTCAATGTGAATAAGGAGTCTGGTTGTCAGGTCCCATTCTAGGAGACATAAGCGGGGCAAACAACAGTTATCTGTTCTGCGTATGGATGTCCATTGGCACGATAGTTATCGTCGTGGGTTGGTTAGCAGTGTTACTGGTCGGTCCGAAAGCAGGTGGGGTCTTGGCTTTGGTGCTTGTGGATTCCAGCTCTCGTTTTGCCCTCATGTGTCTATAAAAAGAAATTAAAATTAACATTTCTTCATTGTTCCCTACTTGCCTGGGTGTGGTCTCTTCCATTCTAAGTAGTGTCTGGGGAAAAATGGCAAGAATCAGGCTGCTTTGAATATCCAGGGCAAAATCCTGGTCTTGCTGAAATCAGTGGGAATCCCTAGCATTTTAGTCAATGAAACCAAGATTTCCATCCCAAGATTTTAACTAAAACACAATATTACTAACGGTTCCTCAGTGTGAGGAGGAGAGTCCTAGATCTACACCCCACTGCACTTTCCTCCACAAAAATGCCAGAATAAGAAGCTCGCCCGGTTGCCCCACTGAATTCCAAAGAACAGGCTCCAACACCAAGAATCTTCTGCTGTCTGCTCCCGAGAGTTGGGCAGCCAGTAAGAGCGTTACAGCTTCCCTGGGGGTTGATGAAGAGGAGGAAATGACCAGCATAGTTTTTTGAAAACTTTTAAAGTTACTACTGTTTTGCAGGGTCTGATGAAATGGATCTTTTTTGTTTCCCCCACACGTTTTTGGAATAGTGATGGCAGACGGGGCCCCTGCACCCTTTTCAGTCACCCAGGCAGACTGGAGGGCTGCTAGGCATGCAGGGGATGGTACTAGCAGTGGTGAAGGCAGCGAGGTGGATATGTGGAAGCCCTGCCTGTGCCGGAAGAGCATACCCAGCAGTGCCAGCCAGTGCAGGTACAGCACTGCCCAAATGTCAGGTGGACCATGTCCTCGCAGGTGAGGCTTGTGCATGCGTAGCAGCCCACTGCCAATGGCAATTCCGTACCCACTGTTCTGCCACGAGGCCCAGATGGCACCACATATGAGAAATGGTAGACAAAGCCTTCTGCAGCTGACACGCAAAGGCCTCTGATAGACTTGCGTTCATTACACTTTTTGTATCTGGACAACAACAACACAAAACAAGTCCATTTTGACCCCTAGGAGCAAAGTGAAACTGACATGATTTATGTCAGTTTCAGTTTGCTGCTTTGCTGGCACATGTGGTGGAGCAGCAGGGGGCAGGAAAGGCCAGCAACCAGGATGAGAGGGAAAGGAAACATAACTAGGAAAGAGGACGACTACATTTTTGTTTTCTGAGGAGTCTTTCATGAAAACTACATCTAGAACAATTGATGTATTCTTAAATACAGCAGAATAGTTGAAGGAGAGACACACATCAAGAGACCTATGCAAAAAGGATTTGTTCTGAAGCTTGAGATACCAGAAAGTGTAGCCAAGACATGAAAATACAGGAAGAACAGATGAGAAGGGAGGACATCAAGGAAACCAGCGTGAGTGGCATGGAAAGAACAGAAAAAGATGAGATACTCAAGAGAGCTAGAGTGAGTGGTTATGATGTTTGAAAGTTGAAATGAACAATCACGAATGTGTTTTAGTCTTTGGAATTTTGGCTATTAAGTCCTTGACATGGCCTAGGGGATAATGCAGCACAGACCCAACACACATGGCTGTGATTTTAGTTTATCCTGTCTAAGCTTAGCTACGTAAAGGAAATGGGAGAAAGCTGTGTACCTGTTATACATTTTCAACACAAGCAGGACCACTGTAAATATAATAATCACTCCAACTACGATGGCAGCTACTATTGCTCCGGAACCTGGGAGGAAGGGGGAAAAAAGACAGAATGTTTTGTTTCAGCAGCGTTTACTGTACTGTTTAGACATGACTTTGTCAGCAGAGTTTGCACCGCAAACCACTGTTTTTCCCTGGATAAAAATGGAAGCGAGTTTTGGAAAGCTTTTTCTCCTTAAACATGGAACTTAAATTAACCAGGCAAAGGCTTAACTCCAAACATTGCAGTACTGAATTGGTGCTTAAGAACGGAGAGAGTAAAACCGACTAGAAATAAAACAGTCGGGTCACTTTTCTACATCCTTGCTGGAGGAAATACAAAAAGTAAACAAACCTAATCAGAGATGGTCTGGTTCAGTAGGTGGGGCTTCAGGACGCCTGCAATTCTGCCCAACCGGTTTTATAAACTTGGGCAAGTCATTTCCCTGCTCAGTGCCTCTGGGTTCCCTTCCTTCCTTTTTCTTTTTCATCAGGGGCAGGACTCTCCCTTTGTATGGGTACATCAACACTGCAACTGGTAGCATGCTTCCCAGCTTGGGCACACAGATATGCAACAGCTCTGCTTGTGCTTGCATGCTAAAAAGAGGCATGGTAGCCCAGAGTAGCATGGGTAGTGGCCAATGTTCCTTCTAATCTTTTCCATCCATGTGTTAATTTTTCCATCCATGGGCAGAATCAATTTTTATGTTCACTGAGATGTGTGAATGTGCACCACCAGTAGAACAAAAAACTAGCTGCAAGCCTTCAGCTAATCAGGGAGGTGGCACTGGAATTTCTCCTGTGAGGCACACAGGTGAACAACTTACAGAAATACTAGTAGTGACTCAAGCTAACTGCCTGAATACACACCCAGGAGTTCCAGGTGGGTGCGTGCTCAAGATGGCTAACCTGAGCTGCCTCCCATACTATCCCAAGTTACATTAGCGCCAGCTGGGGCAGATCTGGTGAGTCTCTATCTGAGCTGGGAAGCATACTCCCAGCTGCATGCAGACATACGACAAGGATTTGTGTGATGCCCTGCACAATGGGGTTAGGATTCTTGCTGGGTCCATTAGATACTATCAACAAACAACTAATCCCTGTGCATACAGTTAAGCACATACATAAGACTTCGGAGGATTGGGCTCTGTGTATCATGTTTTCATTAGTCTTCATGTTAAAGGGCAGGTGAATAGATTTTGTGCCTGGGCTAGTAGATTCTGCAAAACTAGCAAATGATGTCAAGTAAATTAGATTAATAAAAACAACAAAAATAAGTTATCAATAGCAAAATACATTTTTCTTTATGTCAAGAAGTCAGTGTCTATATAATAGCTGAAAGCATCAAAACACATAGCAAAATCTAGTACAACTTCATTTAAACAAGACCTTCAAGACTGACACTTTGTTAAAACACGCTCACCAAAATCCATTATATTCTATTTAATTTTGATTATCTTTAGGAGCATAAATTTTCAAAGGGTGATATAACAGGTTTGTACAAGTCCTTTGTTAAACGACGTTTGCACAGGAGAATGTTTGGGATAGCTTTTCAAAATCTTCCCCAGACACAGGGATTTCAAAATACAACTTAAATAAATCCATTGTCACTATTTCCCTTACTCTGATAAAGAATTTCTTCTTGAGACTTTGTGGTCACATTTGTTGGAGAGAGAGTATTCTCACCCAGTGGGGCAGCTGTCGTCATCTTGATTCCAGCTAGAAAAAGAAAAAGAACATGATTTTTAAAAAACCACTGACAGTTACTGCCAGCACCTATTTGAGAGAACTTGACAATTATCCATCTGCTATTTGGTTCTTTACATTCTGGCTCTTGGTTCTCACCTTACACCATGGATTGTTCTGCTGAAATGAATGAACACTTGCAGAGTAAAGTATTATACACTGGATGGAATTCTAGCCCTACGGACGTCAATGGGAGTTTTGCCACAGACTTCAATGTGTCATTTTACCCAGTGTGAGTAAGGATTCTTTTCTAGTCCCCAAGTGAGATATTCACCATAAAATGGACAGTGCTCAGCATTGCTAACATCATCTTCTTACTATATATATTAGAAATGTGCATCTGTCTGTCCCTGAGTCTGATTGTTCAAGATCTCCTCCTAAACAGAAAGAGCTAGGACCACCACATTTGGTAGGCAGCTTCCTCTTACCATAACTTAAAGCAAGGTCGGGGTTTGGTTGAGCCAGGATAATGACAAGTGCCTCGAATCTGATTTTCTCATAAAATGGAAAGGGGTATGGTAGGAGGGACAGTTGTTCTGCAGAATGACCATGGGGGGCAGTGAGGGGCCAGAGATGGAGACTGAGGGAGCTATAACCCCATTGGGCCAGCAGGAGGCAGCGATGGAGAAAGGGACAGCTATTTACTATATATTTCAGGGGGGTTGTCCGTCTGTGTATCTGTCGCACATCTGGGGGACATTCACCCCTCCCCCAGCTGTGCCCACTGCAGCTGTAGCAGCCATAGAGAGGTGCTTCTCATCTGGCCCCAAGGTGCCACAGTGAGAAAGGGCTGGGGTTGTGCTCTCTCCCGAGGGCCACCTGCATGCTGAACCCCTCATCCCCAGAGCAATGATTTAAATGAAGAAAAACAATGAAGACCTGAGAAAGGCTGGGTACATTTTCTAGAATAGGATAAAGCAAGCACATTCCATGCACACCAGAGATGCACTTTTACCATTACAGAGTACTGAGTTTCAGAGAGGAAATCACAGCAAGCTGGAAACAAGTGGCAACAGGCAAGCAAACTGCACAGATAGCGAGTTTCAAAGTCTGCACTGCAGTGTGGCCTGGAACTCCCAGCATTTGCAAAAGAATCAGGCCGTAATCTAGGCACAGTGACAATTCTGACTTTGCAAGTGAAAAAACACAGAGGGGTCCTATATTAGCACGAACAGCTGTATTCTGCAGTACTTGTCCAAAGCACTATTGCTCGCAATGCTGAGACTGCAATGTATGGGGCTTTGTTTTGAATATAAAGGGGAAACAATTGGAAAATAATAGAATATTCTCATGTATGCCATACACAGCTGCATTATCTTCCTCATTATCATAGAACCATAGAGCTGGAAGAGACTTCAGAAAGTCATCAAGTCCAGCCCCCTGCTCTAGGCAGGACCAATCCCAACTAAATCAACCCAGCCAGGGCTTTGTCAAGCCAAGACTTAAGCACCTCTAGGGATGGAGACTCCACCACTTCCCTAGGTAACCCATTCCAGTGCTTCACCACCCTCCTAGTGAAACAGATTTTCCTAATATCCAACCTGGATCTCTCCCGGAGCAACTTGAGCCCATTGCTCCTTGTTCTGCATCCATCACCACTGAGAACAGCCTCTCTCCAGACTCT